ATTCTGCTCCTTCTTTGTCAATATGTATCATAGCACAACCTAAAATTATAAAGTTAAGTATTCTCTAGTAATTTTATATGTAAAAGCCAACCTTAAAAATAAATAAACTGCCTGTGAGAGTAGAATCTGACCTGTTTATGCTTTTTATAGAGACCGGCATATTATGCAGACTTCAGTGAAATTTCCATTTGATTTTCTTTAAATTCTTCGCCTCACATAACTAAATGGTAAAGAGTTTTCAATCAAATCAGAAGCTCCAGCTAAATTTATCCATGTAATTATATAGGATTTTCTTTTATTATTCTCCATAATCAAAACGAAGGAATATTACCAAAAAAGATGTATTATTAATTTTTCTTTTCATAATTACCTATTCACTGCATGCATTGGCAAATATTCAAATTGTAATGTTATCTCATCATCCACAAGCATTAGTAAATAAGAATCCCAGATATATTTTATATGAACAGTGTTAGCTTTTCCTAACTTAGAAACATTGTCTAGTAAGTTTCATCTGAGAAAATGCTAGGGGTTCTGATATTAAAACATGAACCTATTGGTGCCTTTCACCAAAGTAGTCTCTTTTGTTAAATATTTCTGAATCTAGTTGTGAGAGTCAAATACATTGGCTTATCTAAGAGCTATAATACCTCATATATTTAGGCAATGCTTTTGCCATTAAAAAATAAACAAATCCCTCTGTCTATGGATCTGTATTGAATTAAAGTAAACCTATGTGTTAATTTAAATTAGATCATGTTCCTTAAATATATTGCAAGTATCTCCTGCGTTTTGAAAGTTCACTTTATGCTACTTTGCTCTTATGAAGGATGTACATTAGTGTCTTTTTTTGCTAACCAGATGAAATCCTAAGGAGTTCTGCTTTTACAAGAAAACAAACAAACAAAACAAACAATTAGTGGTCAGCTTTGTTTCATGGCCAACCAGTAAAGGGGCAGCAGTGGTGTTTGTACCAAGCTCCTTCCCTGGAACGGATACTTAGCATCTCAGCATTGAGCCGCCATTGATGTGTGCCTGTGCACACTATGTTAGTTTTATGTGTTATTTAGTATGATTTTTTGGTTATTTCTTGGAGCTCAAAACTCAACCCACTGCCACAGAATCCATTTTGATGCATAGCGACCCTATGAATCACTATACACCTGTGGGTTTATGAGACTGTAATCTTCACGGGAGTAGAAAGCCTCTTCCCAGCCTTCCACCCCACCCTGTACACAGGTGGGTGCCAACTGCTAACCTGCTGGTTATCAGTTCAACTGGTAACCCACTACGTTGTTGTGTCTTGGGCAGGGAATGCTCAAATATTTACTTGCACTATATTATGGCAATTCTAATGGTTTGCAAATTTATTATGATAAACGTGGGAGAATTTAAATGCCCAAAAGAATTTTGTAAAAA